CACTTCAATAAGTGATGCTGGGAAAACTGGACAGCTACATGTAAAAGAATGGAATTGGAACACTCCCTCACACCATACACTAAAATAAACTCAAAATGAAGGAAACACCTAAATGTAAGACCAGACACTATAAAACTCTTAAAAGCAAACAAAGGGAGAGGACACTTTTTGACATAAATTGCAGCAATATCTTTTAGCATCCACCTCCTAGAGTAAAGAAAATGATAACAAAAGTAAACAAAATGGACTTAATTAAACTTAAAATATATTGCACATCAAAGCACACCATAAACAAAATGAAAAGACAGCCCACAGAATGGGAGAAAATATTTGCAAACAAAGCGACCAACAAGGGATGAATCTCCAAAATATAAACAGCTCATGCAGCTCAATATCAAAAAAGCAAGCAACCCAATAAAAAAATGGGCAAGATACCTAAACAGACATTACTCTAAAGAAGATACATTGCCAAAAATCACATGAAATGATACTTAACATCTCTAATCGTTAGAGAAATGCAAACCAAAACTACAATGAGGTATCACTTCACACTAGTCAGAATGGCTATCATCAAAAACTCTACAAACTTTAAATGCTGGAGAGGGTGTGGGAAAAGGGAACCCTCCTACATTGTTGGTGGGAATGTAAATTGGTAAAACCACTATGGACAACAGTATGGAGGTTCCTTAAAAAACTAAAACTAGAACTACCATATCATCCAGCAATCCCTCTCCTGGGCATATATCTAGAGAACATCATAATTCAAAAAGATACATGCACCCCAATGTTCATAGATGCACTATTTACAATCACCAAGACATGGAAGCAACCTAAATGTCCACTGACAGAGGAATGGATAAAGAAGATGTGGTACATATATACAAGGGACTACTACTCAGCCATGGAAAAATGAAATAATGTCATTTGCAATAACATGGATGGACCTAGTGATTATCATATTAAGTGAAGTAAGTTGACAGAGAAGGCCAAATATCATATGATATCACTTACATGTGGAATCCAAAAGAAATGAAGCAAATGAACTTATTTAGAAAACATAAATAGGCTTAGAAATCAAACTTATGGTTACCAAAGGGGAAAGTTGGGGGCAGGGTTAAATTAGGAGTTTGGGATTAACATATACACATGACTATGCATATAATATATAGTCAATAAGTTCTTACTGTATAGCACAGGGAACTCTACCTAATATTCTGTAATAATTCATGAGGGAAAATAATCTTAAAACTAAGGGATATATGTATCACTGAATCACCTTGCTGTATACCTGAAACTAATGCAACATTGTAAATCAACGATACTCCAGTATAAAACAAACATTAAGTTAAAAAAATAGGTCCTGTGACAAACCATAATGGAAAAGAATATGAAAACATTTATATACATACATAAATATATACATATATATATATATATATAAAACCGAGTCACTTTGCTGTACAGAAGGAATTCACACAACGTTGTAAATCAACTATACTTCAATAAAACTTAAAAAAATTAAGCAGAATAATAATTTTAAAAATGAAAGAGAAATTAAGGAAACAACCTGAGGAATAATACTGAGGAATAAACTTAGCCAAGGAAGTGAAAAACCTATAATTTGAAAACTATTAAAAAATAGATGTTAAATAAGATGATGCAAAAAAATGGATTTGTAGCCTGTCATCATGGACTGGAAGAATTAATGTTAAAATGTCCATACTATCAGAAGCAGTCTACAGATTTAATGAACTCACTATTAAAAATACCCTTGGCATTTTTCACAGAACTAGAGTAAATAATCCTAAAATGGATATGGATTTATGAATTACCAAAGCAATCTTGAGCAAAAAGAACTGTGCAAGATGTAGATAGCTTCCTGATTTCCAAATATACTACAAAGCCACAGTGATCAAAACAGTATAGTAGTATCAAAAATACAATATATAAATCAATGGAACAGAATAGAGAACCCAGAAATTAACCCACGCAATTATGGTCAATTAATCTATGACAATGAAATTAGAATATTTTCTCACACCTATAGAAAAATAAACTCAAAACAGATTAAAGGCCTAAATGTAAGACAAGCAACCATAGAATTCTTAGAAGAAAAGGTAGGGAGAACACTCTTTATCATAAACGTTAGCAATTTTTTTTGGATATATCTCCTAAGGCAAAAGGAACAAAAGCAAAAATAAATAAATGATACGTAATTAAACTTAAAAGATTCACACTGCAAAGGAAATCAAGAACAAGCTGAAAACACAAGCTACTGAATGGGAAAACTATATTTGCAAATGATATAACCAATATGGGCTTAATATCCAATATATTTATTCAGCTCATAGGGCTCAATATCAAAACAAAAAAAACTTGATTAAAAATTGCCAGACCTGAATAGACATTTTCCCCAAGAATATATACAAATGACCATAGGCACATGAAAAAATGCCCAACATTGCTAATTCTCAGAGAAATGAAAATCAAAACCACAATGAGATATAACCTCATACATATCAGAAAGGCTATCCTCAAAAACTCTACAAATAACAGATATTGGTGAGGATGTGGAGAAAAGAGAGCCCTAGTATATCTTTGGTTGGAATGTAAATTGGTGCAGCTGCCATGGAAAACTATGGATGTTCCTCAAAAAACAAAAAATAGACCTACCATATGATCTAGCAATTCCACTGCTGGGTATATAACTGGAAGAAAAATGAAAACAGTAATTTGGAAGTATACATACACCGCAATATTCATAGAAACATTATTTACAATAGCAAAGACATAGAAGCAACTCAAGTGCCAATCAACAGACAATTGGATTAAGAAGATGTAGTATATCTCAATACATACAATGGAATATTACTCGGGCATAAAAAATAATGAGGTACCGCCATTTGCTGCAATGTGGATGGACCTAGAGAGCATTATGCTTAGTGAAATAAATCAGATAGAGAAAGATAAGCATGATACCCATTATATGTGGAATCTAAAAAATAATAGAAATGAATGTATATGTGAAACCGAAACAACTGAGAGATATAGAGAACTAACTAATGGTTATCGATAAGGAGAGGGGAGGGGAGGGGCTAAATAGAGTGGGGAATTAAGAGACAATCTACCTTTTATAAAATAAGTGAGCAGCATACATCTATTGCACAGCACAGGAAAATATAGACATTATTTTTTAATAATTTTAAATGAGCATAAATAATCTATAAAAATATTGAATCACTTCTTTGCACACCTGGCACTAATGTAATATTGTAAATCCTTCATTTAAAATATTGTTCCATGAGGTTAATATAAAAATCATTAAAAATGGCATTTTCCCCTAAATAAACTTGTAAGTTATATGCAATACCAGTTAGTATCTCAACGGGAATATTTTGGATAAGATGACAATGTTCATCGGAAAGAAAAGAGTGCTAGAAAATCCAGGGGAAGTAGAAGTAATGAGAGGGAGTATTAGTGCTTCAAATATAATTAATCTATAGCCATTAAAATAGGATGGTAGTGGTACAAGTATAGACAAAGAGTGAAATGGAAGAAAATTGAAAGGAGTGAATTACAGAATGAACGGGAATGTGGACGACAATGAAAGAGCCATTTCAAATCTGTGGGAGAAATGAGGGTTGAAGAAATTATGGTTAATCCCTAACTCTACTTTGTCCAGGTCAATCAAGGGTTTGAATACACAATAATGCAACCAAAAAAGACTAATTGTGTCTATTCTATTGGAGTGGGCAAGCTCATTGCAAGCATGACAGAAAACTCAAGCAGCAGTAAAGGAAATTATTGAATAAAGCATGTCTAAAAGAGGTATTAAAATCCTTAATATTTACTTCTATCACGGTGGATTTTTCTAAGGCACATCCTTCCCTAAGAGCAGCCTGGGGCTGATCTTCCCCAAAGTTACTGGACATGGAAGAAAGGTTGGTAGGAAAAACAAAAGTTCTTTGAAGTCCATTTTGGTCCTTAGGAGGGCTTGAACTTCCAGGTCTCTCTGTAGCAGTGGGAAATCCTCAGGCTGTGCCACACAAGACCTACTCCCTGTGCATGCACACTGCTATGCATGCATGTTTTTGTGAACGTCGTTTGTGGCTCAAGCTTGTCCGTTGACACGCATGCGCCTTGCCGTCCATCTTCTGTGTCAATTGCTGTGCCAGCAGAGGTCTTCGCTGAGTGAAACTCAGCCAGTACTCATAGCAGTATTCCCTGGAGTTAGGAGTGAGCGTGAGGGGAAGCCAGCGGGCTTCCTGTGAGTTGAATGGTGTGATCTGTAGCATCTGTGGAGGAAGGTCCTCGAGGTCATCGTCCATCTCCTCATAGGTGTCGTGGCTTCCATGGCTCTCATACTGGTGGCGGGAGAGGGAGGGTGGTGGGTGGTGGAAGGCAGAGGGTCAGATGAAAGAGGGGTGAGTCTTAGGGGTGCTATTTGAGGTATCTTTGTTCTGGTGGCCCTGAAACTGATGACAGAGCACAGAATCCGGAGTCTGCAGTGGGGCCCCAGGCAGGAGGCAGGGCAGACGGTAAAGGAAAGGCCTAGAAGTCGGACCACTGTGGGGTTGTGACTGCATACCGAGATTTGTAGTGCCCTGAACAGGGTGCCAAGGGAGAAGTGGGCAAGTCGTTCTTTGAGAAAGCAGCCACAGGCATTATGTAAAAGAATTAACCTGTCTATGCTTTCCCACAAAAGTTTATTTGGGGGTTGCAGGCATGTGCATAGTAAATGTGGTATGGCAAAACCAGTATTCACTCAAGTTCTAATTCTCTAGTGTTTTCATGATGAGTCCAGTTGTGAAATGAAACCTCATTAGGAAAGCCCCCATTCTTTCACCATGTGTCTTAAAGTGATTTCTATGCCTGTTTGTTGCTACACACATAAACAAAGGCTTATTTAGTATTAAAGTACAAATAAGCATTTTGTCATAGTGTTCATATATAGCTATCCTCTTACATGTAGTTTTCAAATTATAATATTTCTTTTCCAGTGAGAAATATGAGTGGGCATGTAAGAAGAAGATCCAAATCTGCAGGAAGAAGAGAGTCTTCCCAGGTTGTTGGGCCTCTTGTTGTGAGTGCTTCAACATTTAATGTTTTCCATTACCAGAATCAATTTATTTATTGTTGTTGAACTAGTATATATACATTCATATTGTCTTCCTTATTGATAAAAAATGATAATGGAATCTCATGAAAAAAACATTGACCCAGGACGATTAAATTCTGTTCTTGCCTGGATGGGTGTGCTCTTAAGTTTCCTACCTGTTGTCCTATACTTATCAATAATGGATTACACACATCCATTTCAGTGTAGATTAAAACAGTTTGTGTCTGCGAGAAGAGTAACAATTTTATTAAGAAAAAAATTGTGTGTGTGTGTCTGTGTGTGTATTACTGTTGGAAAATATATTTAGACATGATTAAATATATGTATGTATTATATACATTCATAAATTATTGATTTTTAAAATTTGTGAACAAAATCACACCCCTAGGCTCAGCAGCCCAGTGATAAACCACCTCAACTAGAGGAACCACCGTCTGAGAATCAGGATACTATATCTGCTCAGGACATTGAAGGTGAAGGAGCACCTGTAGCTCAAGTTGAAAAGAGAGGGGATAAGAGTCCTTGTGGGTCTATGGGTGGTGGAGTTGTATTTGTACATCATGCATTATGACCCACTGGAAACAAGAGGAAAGAAACATTAGAAAAATATTTCAAACAATTCTTGCTACTACTCTGGGGAAAATGTGGAGTGAAGACAAGTAAAATTGTCAGAAAACGTTCCTAGCCTTCAGAAAGTGGCTTTTTCTTGATTGGGCTTTCATACGTTAACCTTTGAGTGCATTACAGAGCTCCTGTATAGTTTGTTCAGCCAGTTTCTGAGTGCTTCTTTTTTATGTTTCTATGGGAGAATGAAATTGTGGGACTACCAAACCTGCCGTTTTGCTGATATCTTCATTTTTTAAAGACTTTTTCCCACACAACATTTATTAGTGCCTGCTCATGCCATGTAATGTACTAAGTGCTTGGAGTCTCAGTGCCAAAGAGAGACCTAATTTCTGTCTGAAACTTATAAACTAGTCAGAAAGACCCTAACAAATCACTGATTTAATACACAAGTACAATAACAGCTAAGTACAAAAGGGACAATTTAGTTTTCTGGGGGTAGCCTGGAGTAAGGAAGGAAAGGGTAATGTTTGAACAACTTGTTTTCCTTTTTTCTGGCAACAGACTCCTGAAGCTAATGCTCTTGGGATACTTATGCAACATATTTATTACCATACGAGTATATAGGCTTTTATTTCATAATGATGAGGGAATGACTATTATTTCCTTATTCATATTTCATGGTTTTACTTCTTAAAAAGTGACCTTTTTATTTTTAAGGGCCTGCTATGGAAGCTGATCAACAGGAACTGGCTCTGCTGAAGACTGTGGATAAGCCTGGGGATGGTCCTGATGTGAAGGGTGAGATTCTACCAAGTCTAGAGACCATTGAAAAGCCAGAAGCAGGTTGGTTATCCATTAAGATGCAAATTATGGGGTTTCTTTTTTCTACAATATTATATATTTTTTAACATAGAGGTAACATTACGGCTATTTTAATAACAGACTTCACATACAAAGTTTATTAGAAAGGCAGCTCAGACCACAGTGACCGTCATATTAAGTCATCAAAGATGGGAACAAATTGGGTCAAATTTATATTGCGTTATAAGAGCCAAAAGTATTTTCTCACTTTGGAGTATAAGTCATTTAGTCAACAACTAATAATTTTCAGATATTTTATAAAGGCCTGCTTTTCACATAACCCATTATAATAAACATCAGTTTATATTTTGATGTCATCTATGGTGGTAATGGTTTAAAACTAGTGTGGACATGTGATTTTTTTGGTGTAAATGGAAATGCTTTTAATTGTGTAGAGCCAACAGTTTGGGTGATAATGGGGACAAATGTTTACCCTACTTAAAACAGCTACATAAAGACTAAACTATCCCAAAGAAACATTTTTGCATTTTCCCACAATAGAGACAAAACAAATGCAATAATGGCCTTTCTGTTTACTTTGCTTAGGTAGTTCCAAGCACATCTTATATTCAAAATATTATTTCACGTGAAAACATTGAAAACATATTTTTCCTTAGGTTTTTTGTTTGGTTGGATTATTACTGAAAGTATGTTATTTTTCCCTTTCTACCTATACCTACCTTTAAATAATTTAATTTGATTAAATTTGCACTGAACTGGAACAGTCTCCTGTTTACTTATTGCACTAAAAATTGATGTGATTCAAATTGCTGTTTATATGACTAAAAGTTTACCTTCAATATCTCTACAGAGGTTAACTGGATGTAAGCCAAAGGGTCACCCCTAGGGACTGGCTTTAATCCATCAAAACTGTAGTGTCCTGTGTATAGCTATAGTCATCTAAATAAAGTTCTGCAAAGTAATTTGCCTCGATTTTCTTTTTATTATAGGTGAAGGGCAACCACGGATTTAAACAAAGGTAGACTGAAGCTAAGTACGCTGTCCCTATGTTGGAAATTTGACTGTTCACCATCTCTCAATAAAGTTTTACAACTTTCTTCAAAGAATTCTTGCATAATATTATTAAATGTATTCCTAGGTATTTGATGTTTTTGAAAATTGTATCTGTTTTGCAAGTTTTTAAGTATTTGAGACTGTACATAGAGAAAAAATGTGAACTGACTTATTTTCCAGCAACTTTGCTAAATATGCTTATTAATTCCAGAAGTTTATCTATTGATCCTTTTGGATTTGAAAAATAACACAATCATATCATCTTTGAATAATGTTCTGGTTTTGCCATTTTAAAGACTATACCTTTACTTTCTTCTTCTCATTTATGGTATTGGACAGGACCATCCAATACTATTTACTAGTGGATATCCCTGTCTTTATCCTAATCAGAAATGGAAAATTTTTCACATTTCAATATAATGTTTACAGTGCCTTCTCATAGGTACCCTTTATCAAAATAAGGAAGTTCCATTCTGTTCCTGTTTTGCTAAGTATACTAAACTTGAATATATGTAGAATTTCATCAAACACTTCCAGTGCATCTCTTGAAATCATAGGACTTTATTCCTCCATTAATTGGTTAATGTGATAAATTACATTAAGTTTTCACATTACATCTCTGAGCCCCTTACACTTCTGCAACAAAGTATAACATTCAAAATCCACTCTGCTTATGGAATGGCAGGGGATTATAAACAGCAACTATTCCTCCCTCTTACAGAAGTTAAAAAATATTTCCCTGAACCAAAAAAGGAATGAAAATCTGTGGTCCATTTGAAAAATGAGTAGAAATTTAGAGTATCCTAATTTGCCACAAAATACGTGAGACGTTCCTAGGTTGTAGAACTGGCTGAAAGGACTAGGTAGAAAAAAAGTGAAATGAACAAGAGGGACCTGCTGAGGGAAAATTACTTGGGTCCTACCAACTCCGTCTCCATAAAGGCTATGGCATGAACTAGCCATTGGTTTCAATCCTGGCTCTGACATACTGGCTGTGTGATGATGGAAAATACTTAAATTCGTTGGGTGTATTTATCTATTTCTAAAATAGAAATTATAATATAATATTTACAGTAGAGTACTGCCATGAAGAAAAAGTGAGTTCACACACACACACACACACACACGTGGAGAGAGAGAGAGAGAGAAGGAGTTACAGTACAAATGGATATGATCCATTAATTATATTCTGTGTTTTTGTTTAAATGTTCATGTTTTTTACTTTTTGCAGTTACATCTGTAGCAAATGATATGGCTTTTGAATTTCAAGTTGGGATAAGAAGTTAACTTTATAAATGAATTAGAGCTAAGGAAATGATTTGATTTAAATAAGTTATGTAGTTATCAGACATGGCATCAATTTTAAAGTTGTTTTACAAATGACAGAGGCCTGGCAAATGCTGCCTTAAAGTCCTGCTATGGGCTTAAGTTTGTGCTCCACACAACTCAATACCACAGTCTCTGTCAAGTGGTTAGGCATTCCTTAAACAGCACTGTGGTGGCTAACAGGGTCATAAAGGGCACTACTGAAGTTTTTAGATTGAGTTACCACATGTCCATTGATTTGACTGGTAAGGAGACAACTACCCCAAATAGATCTAAAAAGTTTCCTATGGCAGCAAAAGCAAGATCAGCATTGTATCAACTCCCTATGTCCCTAGTCCCACAGCATGATGCAGAATCGGAGATGCTCAGTGATAGACACCACAGGTGGTGAGTCTCTCTGCTGGCGAGGAGCCCACAGCTGTACCCTAAGGCACTGAGCAGTTCTGTAGACCACAGCTGTACTCTAAGGTGGAGCAAGGAGGAACATCCTGTACTCAACTGAAAAGAGGGAGATGGATGAATAAGGACCATATGTCAGGGACGAGGGGAAGATGACGGAAGAGTAAGACGTGGAGATCCTCTTCCTCCCCACAGACACACCAGAAATACTTCTACACGTGAAACAACTCCTGCAGAACACATACTGAACGCTGGCAGAAGACCTCAGACCTCCTGAAAGGCAAGAAACTCCCCACGTACCTGGGCAGGGCAAAAGAAAAAAGAATAAACAGAGGCAAAATGATAGGCACAGGACCTGCACCAGTGGGAGGGAGCTGTGAAGGAGGAAAGGTTTCCACACACTAGGAAGCCCCTTCGTGGGCTGAGACTGCGGGTGGCGGAGGGGGAAAGCTTTGGAACCACGGAGGAGAGCACAGCAACAGGGGTGTGGAGGGCAAAGTGCGAGATTGCCGCAGAGAGGATCAGAGCCGACCGGCACTGACTAGCCTGAGAGGGTTATCTGCTCACCCTCCGGGGACCGCGGGGCTGGGAGCTGAGGCTCGGGCTTCGATCGGGGTGCAGGGAGAGCATGGGGTTGGCAGTGTGAACACAGCCTGCAGGGGTTAGTGCACCACGGCTAGCTGGGAGGGAGTCTGAAGAAAAGTCTGGACGTGCCAAAGAGGCAAGAGATGTTTTCTTCCCTCTTTGTTTCCTGGTGCGCCGGGAGAGGGGATTAAGAGCGCTGCTTAAAGGACCTCCAGAGATGGGTGTGAGCCGCAGCTAAAAGTGCAGACCCCATAGACGGGCATGAGACACTAAGGCTGCTGCTGCCGCCACCAAGAAACCTGTGTGCGAGCACAGGTCACTATCCACACCCCTCTTCCAGGGAGCCTGTGCAGCCCGCCACTGCCAGGGTACCGGGATCCAGGGACAACTTCCCCGGGAGAACGCACAGTGCACCTCAGGCTGGTGCAACGTCTCGCTGGCCTCTGCTGCTGCAGGCTAGCCACGCTCGCCGTGCCCCTCCCTCCCCGCGGCCTGAATGAGCCAGAGTCCCCTAAGCAGCTGCTCCTTTAACCCCGGCCTGTCTGAGCGAAGAACAGTTGCCCTCTGCTGACCTACACGCAGATGCAGGGCCAAATCCAAAGCTGAGCCTCTGGGAGCTGTGAGAACAAAGAGAAAGGGAAATATCTCCCAGCAGCCTCAGAAGCAATGGATTAAAGCTCGACAATCAACTTGATGTACCCTGCATCAGTGGAATACATGAATAGACAATGAATCATCCCAAATTGAGGAGGTGGACTTTGAGAACAAGATTTATAATATTTTCTCCTTTTCCTCATTTTGTGATTATGTATGTGTATGCTTCTGTGTGAGATGCTGTCTGTATAGCTTTGCTTCCACCATTTGTCCTAGGGTTCTATCCGTCCTCTTTTTTTTCCTGATTTTTAATTTTTTTCTTAATAATTACTTTTTACTTTAGTAACTTTATTTTATTTTACTTTATCTTCCATCTTCCTTTCTTTCCTTCCTTCCTCCTTTAGACAATGAATCATCCCAAATTGAGGAGGTTGACTTTGAGAAAAAGATTTATAATTCTTTTCCCCTTTTCCTCTTTTTGTGAGTGTGTATGCGTATTGTTCTGTGTGAGATTATGTGTGTATAGCTTTGCTTCCACCATTTGTCCTAAGGTTTTATCAGTCCACTTTTGTTTTTTTTTTCATTTTTTCCTTAATAATTAGTTTTAATTTTAATAACATTATTATATTTTACATTATTTTATTTTACTTTATCTTCTTTCTTTCTTTCATTTTTTTCTTCCTTCCTTCCCTCCTTCCTTCCTTCCCCATTTCCTCCCTTCCTCCCTCCATTTTTCTTTCTTTCCTTCTTTCTTTCCTTCTTCTTTCCTTCCTTCCTTTCTTTCTTTCTTTCTTTCTTTCTTTCTTTCTTTCTTTCTTTCTACTTCTACTAATTCTTTCCTTCTACTTTTTCTCTCTCTTATTCTGAGCCGCATGAATGAAAGGATCCTGGTGCTGCAGCCAGGAGTCAGTGCTGTGCCTATGAGGTGGGAGAGCCATATTCAGGACAGGGTCCACAAGAAACTTCCCAGCTCCACATAACATCAAATGGCGAAAGTCTCCCAGAGATCTCCATCTCAACACCAGCACCCACTTCACTCAACAACCAGCAAGCTACAGTGCTGGACACCCTATGCCAAACAACTAGCAAGACAGGAACACAACCCCACCCATTAGCAGAGAGGCTGCCTAAAATCATAAGAAGTCCACAGACACCCCAAATTACACCACCAGACGTACACCTGCCCACCAGAAAGACAAGATCCAGCCTCATCCAGCAGAACACAGGCACTAGTCCCCTCCACCAGGAAGCCTAGACAACCCACTGAACCAACCTTAGACACTGGGGACAGAAACCAAAAACAACGGGAGCTATGAGGCTGCAGCCTGAAAAAGGAGACCCCAAACACAGTAAGATAAGCAAATGCGAAGACAGAAAATCACACAGCAGATGAAGGAGCAAGATAAAAACCCACCACCTAACAAATGAAGAGGAAATAAGCAGTCTACCTGAAAAAGAATTCAGAATAATGATAGTAAAGATGATCCAAAATCTTGGACATAGAATAGACAAAATGCAAGAAACATTTAACAAGGACCCAGAAGAACTAAAGGTGAAACAAATAATGATGAACCAGACAATAAATGAAATTAAAAATACTCTAGATGTGATCAATAGCAGAAAAACTGAGGCACAGGAATGGATAAGTGACCTGGAAGATAAAATAGTGCAAATAACTACTGCAGAGCAGAATAAAGAAAAAAGAATGAAAAGAACTGAGGACAGTCTCAGAAACTTCTGGGACAACTTTAAACACACCAACATTCGAATTATAGTGGTTCCAGAAGAAGAAGAGAAAAAGAAAGGGACTGGGAAAATATTTGAAGAGATTATAGTTGAAAACTTCCCTAATATGAGAAAGGAAATAGTTAATCAAGTCCAAGAATCAGAGAGTGTCCCACACAGGATAAATCCAAGGAGAAATACACCAAGACACATACTAATCAAACTGTCAAAAATTAATTACAAAGAAAACATACTAAAAGCAGCAAGGGAAAAACAACAAATAACACACAAGGGAATGCCCATAAGGTTAACAGCTGATCGTTCAGCAGAAACTCTGCAAGCCAGAAGGGACTGGCAGGACATAGTGAAAGTGATGGAGGAGAAAAACCTGCAACCAAGATTACTCTACCCAGCAAGG